AAGATTTAAGGATTGTCGACCGATTCTCCAAACCTCTGTGACCACAGAGCTGATAAAAGAACAACAGGTTTGATCGGTTCGTGTTCAGCGACAAGGCAGGAGCAACACGAACCGATTCCACGCACGAACATCCCGATTCCAGAGGATAATCCAATAAAACCCCTAACATGCCATACGGGAATTTAGAATGACCAAATGTAGAATGATTACAATGTAGAAACAATAGTGACAGTCTGTGGAGTCATTTTAAGAGATAAAAGATGTAACAAAAAGAAAAGGCGGTGGATAAAAGATGACGGGAGCAGCTGCTCTATTTGCTGCACTATGATTCGGAGGTGACTATGTTTTTTCATAGTTAACATTTTTAACTGAATAAACATAAACATATATAATAATGACCTTTACATATAATAATAAACATTTCCACATATCATCTCCAATAACACCGGACTCTCAGTTGCGCGATATGTCAGCTGTTTGGGATTTTCTTCTTTTGGTTACAAGAATAAGAGTCTCACTGCATAATAATCTAAAAATTAATCTAATATTGGTCTAAATAGTGAGAACTGTACAGTTTCTGAAAAATAAGTTAAAGAGTAACTAATAAACTAGAGTCTCTGGATTCCAAGTTTGTTCTAATTCCTTTTTGGGGTTAAAAGTGAGTACTCCACAGTTTCTAACAAAATAAAAAGAGGAAAGGACACATTGGTGCACATGGCAACATTCAGACAAAACAAAGACATGAGTGAAGGCGGTGACGTCACAGGGCCATAAAACCACGTGGCTCAGCCTCCTGGCAGAAGTCTGATAAGATGTCATCAAGGAATGTCCTTGGGAGCGCTCAGCTCCACAGCTGCATGGAAACAGGAGGGGATGAGGTGGGAAGGAGCGTTATGTTTACATATCTTCAAGAAGATTGGAAATATGCAGCCCTTCCAAGGCAACATGAGAAAAGCCAATTCAGATACAGAATGTCTTAGGTCGGGAAGATTATAAGCTTCAATCTTCCCTAAAGTCTCTCCGATACATCTCAGTTCCCAATTGTCCAAATTAGTTTGGCCGTTCCACTGAGCCGAAACTAGCAACTTCTCCAAGATCGATTCCATCCCGTTAGTGAGTTTTAGAGTCCTCAGCTGGGCTGCGAGTCTCAGCAAGACTCACATCCAACTTGTGTCTCTGTCCACACCAACAGTCTGACTGTTCGCTAGTTCAGCCAAGTCCGTCACAAATTTGTCGATCAGCCACAAGCCCCAATCAGCAGAAATCCTGTTATCATGAATGAATCCTGCTGGGTGTGTCCCTGCAGGACAAGAGGGCTCTCCTGTGCCCAGACTTCTCGTTGAGAAAATCTGATCCATTTCATTGAGTGACCGGTTGACCAGATCCATTTGGATCTTTGCCCATTTGGAGGATGTGCAAAGAAAGGCTCCAAAAATATAGAAAAAGACGGGACAAAAACAGAGCAAGCAGGGCAGGGAGGGAGCAGAGGAAAAAAGTATCTGCCTTCACTGAGAGCAAGAGAGGAACATTTATTGCTATTATAACAGTCTAATGGGTTTTATCAATACATTCTGGCACAACCGGCCCTTTATGAACATTCAGTATAACATACAAACCTAATAATCTGTACTCTTGTAGTCCTTGCTCCCTTCCTGACGACATCTGTGCCACTTCCAAGGACTTGTTCTTAGATAAGACCACACTCCAAATCTACAGATAAACGCACTTTGTGATTGTCACTGCCTTTCATTGGATCCATGTCTGTGCCTTATCCTGTGATATCTGCCAGATCCTTCCCACTATTCTCATTTCATCCTATTTACTGTTATTCTTATTAGAACAAATCACAAAGCCAGAGGAACTCTTGTTAGTTTATAAATTCTAGAGTACTTATTCTTACTATCCACCAACCCGCTAGAAGAACATTTAGTTTTATACTTCACTCAACCCAGAACAGGAATCAAACCTGTTAGAACTAATGAGATCCAGAAAAACTTCTACTAGTTTATAAATTCCAGATTATTGGTCAAAACAGGAATCGAGAAGTCAGACTTTTAAAAATCTGTAATCAGCAATCAGAATACTGCAATCGGGGAACCCAAGTTTATCTGGTGATTTCTCTCCTAAACAATGAAATTCTTTTCTCATTTACTTCAATAAAATCAACAATTCTTCATTTACCTCTGTTTTATTGTCTAGATTGCCTGCAACATAACATTTATGAGGAGGAGATATGTAACCAGGAAAGGAGCTTCAATCCGGACCAGGAGGAGTTAGAACCTCTCCAGGTGAAACAAGAACAGGAAGAACCAGAAGATCATCAGATAAAAGAAGAGCAGGAGGATCTAGAACATCAGAAGATAAAAGTGGAAGAGGAAGAAGTTTACTGCAGTCAGGGTGAAGAACAGATTGAGTTAAAACAGGAGACTGATACCTACATGTTGGTTACTGTTTATGAACAAACATCCCACACTGAATCTGAACCAAACAGGAACCAAGTCATCTTCCAGGAAGCTGCTGAAGCTGAGAACCAGAATCAGGAAGGAAGGAAACTTTTCTCCTGTGAAACTTGTGGAAAAAGTTTTAGTCGAAAACGGAATTTAACTCGTCACATGGTAATTCACACTGGTGAAAAGCCATTTTCATGTGTGAACTGTGGAAAAAGTTTTCGTCACAAAGTTAATTTAACTGAGCACATGATGATTCACACTGGTGAAAAGCCATTTTCATGTGTGGACTGTGGAAAAAGTTTTCGTCACAAACTTAGTTTAACTCAGCACATGATGATTCACACTGGTAAAAAACCATTTTCATGTGTGGACTGTGGAAAAATCTTTAGTCAAAAACAGCATTTAACTAGACACATAATGATTCACACAGGTGAAAAGCCATTTTCATGTGTGACCTGTGGAAAAGGTTTTAGTGGAAAACAGAGTTTAACTCAGCACATGATGATTCACAGAGGTGAAAAACCGTTTGAATGTGATAACTGTGGAAAAAGTTTTAGTCAAAAACAGGGTTTAACTCAGCACATGATGATTCACACTGGTGAAAAACCGTTTTCTTGTGGGAACTGTGGAAAAAGTTTTAGTCAAAAACAGGGTTTAACTCAGCACATGATGATTCACACTGGTGAAAAACCGTTTTCTTGTGGGAACTGTGGAAAAAGTTTTAGTCAAAAATGGAATTTAACTCAACACATGATTATTCACACTGGTGAAAAACCGTTTTCATGTGTGACCTGTGGAAAAAGTTTTAGTCAAAAACAGGGTTTAACTCAGCACATGATGATTCACACTGGTGA